AAAATCGCTTAGGCGGTTACAGCGCCAAAAAAGAAGAAGAAGAAGAAGCTTTTCAAACATTATTAGGTCCTATTTGCGAACAAGTGAATTTAAACTAAATTAACAGAAATAATATAAGTCATATTTTACGAAAAAAGAAAGGAAATAGAAATACAGTACTTACGGAATTTTTTCAAAAATAAAATATTTTCAATAAAAATAGACATCGCACAACGGCTTTATCGAAGCGTTGTTTGCGTAAATGCGCAATTGTTAGGTGACGGGAAAATTACAGTTCGTTCTAGCCGTAAAAAATTTCAAAAGCAGCACACGGCGGATAATTTAAAGCAATTAATTTTGGAGATATTGGAAAGGTAAGTTCACAAAAAATGGTCTTAGTTCCTGCCATTTATATTATTAAAGTTATTTGTTATCCTTTATATGTAGATATGAAATTAATATTAAGCAAATATACAGTATCACCAGCGACAACGGTCGAAATATGGTCAAGTGTCCAAAATACATGGGAAGGGATGTTATTTTTTGTTATAGGTCTTGTCGAATAAAACACGAATCGAAATATGAAATTTGCCAGACACCCCCAAAAATCTTGACTTATGGTCAAAACCCAGTTTTTAGTACCTTACTCGACAAGACATACAAGAAAATTTACATCACTACCCAGGTATTTCTACTTCATTCTTCTTTGTAGCACTGTGTTATCATTTTAATTTCAGATTCTCTTGCTGTTATAAGATGTGCCGCTCACACGATAAAATTGAGTGTAGGGCTGTGCGATTAATTGAATACTCAAAATTTTAATTAATCATAAAGTAAATAACTCAATTATTCGATTAATTGGAAATTATGATTACTCAAAAGTTCAGTTACTCGAGTAATCAAGATTTTTGATTAACCAAAAAAAAATATATTTGAGTAATTTGCTTTATGATTAATCAACATTTCGAGTAAAATGAGTAATCAACATTTCAACTCTTTACATATGTATAAAGTAGTTAAAGTTCCTTGATACTTTGAAAACAACGTTTCTGTTTTCAAAAATTAAAACGAAAAATTTTTTCATATACAGAATGTAAATAAGAAAATAAACATTTTCCAAAGCAAACTCTTTTAACGAGCAAAATTATTTTTTTTGAGTAATCATATTTCAAGTAGCTCGATTAATCATCGTTTTGAGTAATCAAAATCTTGATTACTTGAGTAGTTGATTAACCGAATAATTGATTAACCAACTTGCTCGAGTAATCGAATAATCGCACAGCCCTAACTGAGTGTACACGATGTAATAAAAAACGAAAATGTAAAATTGAAGTTTGAAAAATTTCGATTAACTGCAAAAAGCTTCGCACACCAGCAGTACATCGACTTCTGGTCAATAATAATTTGTTACCACCGATAGCTGACTGCCCCACCCGTTGGAGCTATTTATTCGATTTGGTGAAGCGCTTAAAAGCTGTTCGAGATTTCGTTGATCATAATTTTGAAAACTCAGATGTAGACTGGAGTTTTGTAGACACTTTTTTTTATTAGTTTTG